ACGGACACGTGGCCTTTTGGCACCGAGTCAGGGTTTCCTAAATTTCCCAAAATAAAATATTTAGGTGGCGACTCTGTATCTGGCAAAGCAGTCCATGTTTGGCACTTCTTTCAAAAATCTGTTTTTTTTCTTAAAACGATTTGCCGGATTTGGACTCTTTGGTTCAGACTTAGAACCGTGACTAACGAAAGTCGAGTCCGAGCTGTAGCGAGGTCCCCCGCGGGCTTGGTTACAAGTGGTTGGCTTGACAAAACTGTGCTTACCCTGACACTTCTAGCCGCGGTCTGGTGTCTGTACACCTACATATATATATGACCAGTGAGCTAAAGCCCAGTGAATAACATAATGCGTAAAGAGGTTTAGAATGAATGTCCTTACAGTAATAGAAACATTTCATTAAATCAGTATTTCAGTCGTTCAGTCAGTACAGTCATATGTGGTACATCCATTAGCATAACAGTACAATAAACAGTAGGTCTTGAAAGACCGAACAGTCAATGATGGCCATCAATCAGTAAACAGTAGTGGTTCCAACAAGGGAACCGACAGAGATCTCTATAACAGTAACAGTCAGTAACAGTAGTTGCTAAGGATGCCACAATACAGTTCAGAATAGAGGACATACATTCATTCTATTAACAGTATCAATTCAGAAACAATACAGTTCATTATTCAGAAGATAATCATTTTTGAACATATCTTTACACAGTTGTTACTCATAGAGTTCTGGGCTACAGTTAGGCTAGAGCGCGTCCCCAGTCGCCAACCCTACACAGTTAACAGATTGAACACACATTAAGCTACACAGTTGGGAAAGATAATAACTTAATCCCTAGTTTTCCTTGGCGTGGTTCTACATCTATATCCTCATTAAGATGTCTTAAACTAGGCTAAGAATGCCTAGGATGGGATGAGGATGCAAAGATGCACTTTAAAAGCATTTTCAGAAAACAGGGGTCCCGCTCGAGCATAGGTTAATCCGCTCGAGCGGACATGCAGACAAATATCTCCGCTCGAGCGCAGACTTACCCGCTTGAGCGTAATGCAAAACAGTCAAAAGTGCTGGGTAAGTGAAATCTCTGCTCGACGCCCGCTCGAACGCGAGACACAGGCCTCCGCTCGAGCGTGAATTCCGCCGCTCGAGCGGATTGTAAAACAGTGCGAAGTACTGGATGCTCGAATTTCCCGCTCGAGCGCCACTTTCCCCGCTCGAGCGGGAGTGCAAAATCTGGAAAATCCAGATTGCACCTCTAAGCTTAAAACCATGGTTTGATGCAAAATTTTCGATCCTCTTGGGCTCATTTCCTGGAAAACATTTGTAAACTCATAGAACAACATGTTTGAAAGATCAATTTAAGAAATCAAAGCCCAAGGGTAGCTTAAACAAACTCAATTTCAAACCAATTTTTATGAACAATCTTCAAACATGACATGCATGAATTTAGCTAGCTTCCAAGCTTCCAAAAAATGCTCCAATGAGCCAATTCTTTTCAAAACAAGATGAAATCATGGACTTAACATAATTATGAGCATGCATGTAACATTTTGCCATGAAAATAACTTAAAACTCAACAATCCAAACATGCATGCAATAATTAAGCTATAATTCAACATGTTAGAACTAAATTATGACTTAGCTCCTCAATTATACATGAACCATGCATGAATCAACTTAAAGACACAATCAAGAGGATAAAATTCATACCTAGGTTCCTTAATTACTAGTCTTGAGGTTCAATCTAGCAAGAACTCCTTTCAATTCCTCCAATTTCCAAGCAATTCTAGATGAAATCACCCAATCTCCCTATTCCCACTCTCTAGTCGGCAATAACAATGAATAAGGCTGAGGAAATGGTTTGCTCAATGTAATACAAGTCTCAATATGTGTAAAGTAGTGGGCCACTACTATGGCAATGTGGTAAATAATGCAACTCTTGTAATTTAGCACTATTTAATCTAATTTAATCATACTAATTCAGTTTTCAGATAAATACACCATAAAATCACATTAATTCTAAGGATCATGAAACACTAATCAATTTCTGGTTCGACCGCCGATAAGGCCTTCAATTTGCAATTTAACCATAAAAACATGAACAGATAATCAAATAGGCAACAGATAGAAATGCAATATAACAGATATACTTAATCAATTCAGTTTCAGATTCCAATCAGTCAGTTCAGTAGTTCAATCAGTTCAATTACCAATCATAATCAGTCTCAGTTTAGCAGTAATCGGTAGTTTATCGGTAAACAGTGGTGAGGGTTGTTACATCAACCGAGCTCCGTTGTCTATGATAAGCTCTTGCTCAGTCGAACCTGACCTGAGGACAAATTTCGTTTAACCTAGCGTGATGCACATCCACAGGCCGTGCTAGCACCTCAAACTTATACTATAAGACTGAGCCAATACCTCGGTATAACTCGTATCCAAAATCTGACCGAGCTAAAGACCTTGACCGAGGCTCAAGCCAGCTCGGCCCACATTAGGTTATAAATCTCCCTCTCAAGAGCTTTGTCGGCTTTGCATCAGTAGAGGTGACGAGTCGATTTTCAGCCAAGGCTGAGTTATCTGTTGACAAAGTAAAAAATATTCGTTGATTTATTTTTTGCTTGTTGTGGTTTGCATTTTTTTTTATCTATCTCTAGGATTTTGTGCTCAAATCTATACGATTTTTTCCATTACTGCAGCGGTTTAGCTAAGGCTTAGGTTAGGGTTTTCATGTTCACATACATGGTTTGGTTAGCATTGATGATTATGATTGTATAGTTTTGTTTTCGATCATGATTATGTTAGATTAGGTGTTTTTCTTTTTTTTAGTTTGGCATCTCTGTTCCCTCATTCTCTCTTTATTTTTTTAGATCTATGATTTTGGTTCGACTTCATGTTTTTTTATTGTGGCTCTATTTAATCTTATTCAAATGGTGAAAGAAGATCGAAGCAAATCTCAATCTTGATCTTGTTCAACAGATTTGAACTAATGTATTTATTTTTAGTTGTTGATCTGGTGCTAGTGTTGGTGTTGTTATTGTTGTTGTTGATGATAACGATGAAACAGATTGTAACACGTTAAAATATTTTTTTGTTTTTGTGTTGCAAAGATAAGGAGGAGTGAGAGATAGAGAGAATAAAGATTTGAACAGATAGAGAGATTTCTAAAACTTGGATTAAATGTGTTAATCTGTTGAATATGCGTTAGATTTTTATTTTTTTTTATCTTTTTATTTTTTTGGTTTTTACATTTGAGCTCCAATATGTTAGATTTGTTAAATATTTGTGTTAGATGTGTGCTGATGATGATGAACATATATGATTTTTTTGTTGTTGATGATGATTAATAAATGAGTGAGAGAGTGAGAGACAGACAGATAGAGAGAAGAAATATGTGAATAGACAGAATTTTTTGAACATATAGGATTTGGTTTGGCCTGATATTTCAACATATAGGAAAAAATGAATAGATCGAACTTCAACATAAAAAATTTAGAGAAAAAAATTAAACAGATAGGAACAAAATTTGAGTGGAAAAGATCATAAAATTAAACAGATAGGGAAAAAATTGAACAGATAAATAAAAAAATTGAATAGATAGATATAAATTTGAACATATAATTAAAAAAAGTTAACAAATAAATTAAGGGGTAAAATTAAAAGGGTGAATCACTCACCAACAAAAAATATCTACTAGATTTAATACCTTATAACATCCGTAGATTGAATTTTTTTTAATACCTTATAACATCCGTAGATTGAATTTTTCAACAATTTTCTGTATATTATATATGATTATTATCTTATTAATTTTTCAATCCAGTCATTAGTGTTTTTTAAGTGACTCTTCTCAATTCACTATCTTGAGGTTGAAAGTGGCTGTCTTGCTTGATTATGTTTTTATTTTTTTTAATTTTATTTTTAAGAAATTTAAAAAACATGTTTTGTAAACTATTTTCAAATTATTTTAAAAGAACCAATTTTTAGGAAACAATAAAATATTTCTTTCTAATTTTCGAAAATTACTTTCATACAAATTAAAATAATGAGTATTTTCATGCTTTCATTTTTTGTTTTTTTCTTGATGTGCAAAAAACGAAAATGAGATAAACCAGGTCAAACAAATCCATTATTACTATTGTACCAAATCGAAATTGATCATTGCCACCTTGAATTGCTTTTGCCACCAAACTATTTTTAATTGTTCCAAGTCGTTGCATTTCACTGTCATTGCCACCAAACTACTAATGCTTCCAAGTCACTGCCAGCTTGATTCGACAATGATTGAAAAACCGACTCCACGCAAGACATTGACTAAATTGTCCCCGGTCTCATGTAGAGACGACGACAGAGAAATAAGAGCCGAGAAAAATGAACCCAAAAATGAGAATTGATTTGATAAAAATTCAACTCTCCTACTATGTTAGAATTATTATAGGGACATTCAATTCAACCGAATTTGAATAGTTTAAGAAAGTGATGTGAAACAAACATCTAACAATTAGATCGAGATGTAGTGAATTGAAAAGAAAAGAAAGTGATAAAATCAAATCTTCGAATGAAATTGTCAAGCACGGCATGAGAAACATGATGATGCAGAGAAATTATTTCCTCCACAAATCATGATACGATCCCACCAAAATGACCAAATTAAATCGAAAACTTTGCTGAGAACTATCACAATCAATGGCATAAACATACCTATGTGAGACATTTAATAAAAATTTGAATAAAATTTTTAAGATATCTAACATTTTTGCCAACAAAAACATGGTGAACTATTTCAATCTGCAGAATCAAAGTGTAGGTAACCAAGGAGGAAAGTGATGGGTCAGTTAGACTGGGTAGAGAGAGAGAAAGAGAGAGAGAGAGAGAGATGAGCCCAAAAAATGAGCATAGTGAGAGAAAGGGAAGAAAAGAGAGGTGAAGGTGAGTAAGGGTAATTTTGTCCATGTCTACGCATTTTTTGGTTCGTAGCGCCACCCAATAGATTAAAAAGCTTTGTAGATTCACAAGTTTCACGTGATCAATATAATGAGAACCCACAACTTAGCAGGCCCTAAAAAAACTCACATAATATCGGACCCATAACCATTGTTAGGATAACAAAACAGAGGGAACTTGTGGAAAAAAATGCCAATTCTAAACAAAAATTCTGAGGGTCATGGCAAAATAACCCTCTACAAACCTCAAACTAAAACCAGCATCATTTGTGCAGATTCAGTTAGAAGCATACATAGACAAATAGACAAATAACACCCTACAACAAAGAAGATGGCACCACCTGGTAAAAGTGTAGGCAAACGAACAAAAAAGAGCTAATTTGGCTTCCGCATGTTACGCCCTGCCCGGATTACTTCATCGACCAAGAGCAACTGAGATGCAATGACTGGCCTGAAATATTATTGAATCACAATTGTTTCTCAGATACATTACCGAAGAAAGGAACAAAACCAGAAGGGAAACGGTAATCTTAATGACTTGCTGATCAGGTGGAAAGCCAGAAGACCAGCAATTAGTCTTGGGAAGGCATGCATGAATTAACACCAGCGGTGAATGCAAATGCAATGCGTTTGTAATTTACATCTAAAATTTTTGGTGATTTTATAAATGAGGAAGATAGGATGAAGTTGAAAACTGTTAGCAATTATTTACTGCAGCAGTTAACAATATGGGCATTCTTGAAGAAGAAAAAAGGATGACACAAATCAAAACTGTTTTGAGTTTTGTCTTATATAACAGAATATATATATACAGAGAGAGAGAGAGAGAGAGAGAGATGCATGGCTAAGAAGCTACAGGAAAATGCTCATGTCATCTGAATGACTTGCTTCCAAGTAGCAGCAGATGCAGCCTAATTAAGGAACATGAATGATTCTCAGTACAAATGATTTTCTACTTACCCTGAGTGTATGATTTGGCGCTTAACCGAGTAGTTGTCGAAAATTCCCTCCATTTGAGGGTCAATAGGCTCCCCGGTGTGTTGGTTTAATCCCACAACATTTCCTCTGTCGTGCTCACCCTAGACAAAATATCCATATAGCATGAGAACGTTGAATCTATTTACTCTCCAATTGAAAAAATTAAAGATAAAGGATCACTAGTGACATGAATAGAATACCGTAAGGGCAATTATGACATCTTGAGTGTCAAGGCCAGAATTTTCAGCTAGTGTCTTGGGAACCATGAGAAGGGCATCAGCAAAAGCTTCAACACCAAGTTGGGCACGCTGTTTCAAGTTTGTAAACACAAGAAAATGTTTAAACAAATATTAATAAGGGCTTTAAAATGTTTATTGGCAATAAAATAAAAAAAAAGAAAAAAAAAAAAAGGTGACGGCTTAAGAATAATAGCTTTTGTATGTAAGTTCAGAATATTCTCATTACCCCTTGAACAGTTTTCTTTACTTCATTAATTAGGTATTGTCTGGCTGCAACTTCAAAAGCCCCGGCTCCCTGAACAAGAAACAAGACAAGAAATATACTCTAATGTCAGAATCTTATACAACAAAACCAAGTCATAGTCCAATAACTAATACAGAGGAAATTATTGGAAAAATAAAGAATAAACACAAGTAAAATCCTGATCAATACAAAATGCTTTAGACAATGCTCGCGAAAAACCAGCACAAATAGTTTTTAAGAACATAATTTTGGTTGAATGTTGATCGCATTGCCAAAATACAACATATACATGCCATGACAGTCTAGGAAGTAAGTAGTGTTAATTGAACAAATTGTAAAGCCAGTCAAATGCTCCACATATTAGGTGCCATTTGATAACGTTTCCGTTTTTTTGTTTATATTTGTGAAAAAATTATAAACTAGTTTTTGTTTATTTTTAGAAAAATAAAAAACAAAATATTTAAAAACAAAAACTCAAAAACATGTTTGTTAATTTTAATGCATAAAATGTTTATTTTGTTTTTTTAATTATTTATGACAATAAAAATCATACAAATCATAAAATTATAATAAACATCCAAAATAATAATGTTATACATAAATACAAACAGCAATTATATGCAGAACAAACGGTTGACGATGGAGAACTTTTGACGAGAGAGAGAGAGCGAGAGAGACCTGTGTTTTTTTACCGTTGCAGAAGACGACATATTATGCGTTGAATATATGGTACCAAAATGTGTCTCCCAAGTTTTGAACACCAAACCATCTCTTGAGTCAATCTTTTTTTTTCTTCCGTATTTTTTTTGGCTGTGTTTCTGGTTTTTTAAATTTCAAAAACATCTTCTTTCAGTTTTTGTTTTTCACCCTTATTTATAAACAAAGACTAACTATTTATAAACCAAAAAAATTAGGTTGCGTTTGGTAGAGTTTTGTAAATATGATTTGAGAGTATGAGTTGTATTTTGAGTTTGTGAGCTGTGGAATTATGATATGAGTGTAGAAAATTTGTTTGGTTATAGTTTTTGAATAGAGTGTTGAATTGTATGTGGAATTGAGTTTTGAAAGTTTGATGTGACATGTGAAATAAGAAAATTTGTTTGGTGATGAATTTTTTAAATAATTTTCAAAACTTAATTTAACCTATAATTGATAATCAAATACACAACTCATAACTTGATATCCGTATTTTTGATCAATAGTCATAACCAAATTATTTTTAAAATACTCGAATAAAAAAATTATTTTTTTTTCAATTAATTGTTTTTAAGTACTAATTTTTTTGAATAATTTTTTTTTCAAATAACTTCTATGTCAATTATTTTATGTCAATTAATTTTTCTGTCAATTAATTTTTTAGACCTGTATAAACATTAAAAATATTAAAAATATTTTAAAAATATTTAGAAAATTAAAATATTAAAAATATTTAGAAAATTAAAATATCAAAAATATTCTGAAAAATAAAATATTAAAAATATTCCGAAAATCAAAATATTTACAATTAAAATATTAAAAATATTCCTATAAAATAAAATAAAATATTTAAAATAAAAAAATAAAAAATATTTAAAATAAAAATTTAGCTGTTTTTGAGTTTTGAGTTATGTGTTTGGTTATGAGTTTTGAGAAATAGATGTAGAATTATGATTTGACAGCTGCAACCAAATACCACACTCAAATCAGTGATGAAATTATGTTTTGAAATCTAAACCAAACAGAGGCTTTTATGCTAGTTTTTTAAATTTTTGTAAATATAAACATAAAATTGAAAACAAAATGGTTACCAAACAGACCCTTAGCAATCAAGAAACAATATGGAAAGATATCATTATTATCATGCAAAATTGCAGATACAAGTTTAAAATCATAACTTACTAGGACAACCGCTTCATCCTCAATTGTATTTTTTACTGCTCTCAAGCCATCACGAACAGCATCCTTAATTTGTGCAATTGTATGATCATTGGGTCCTGCACAATCAAGTAATTCAACGAGCATTAAATCACTACTGGATTTACAAAAAGCATTAGGAATCTGTACATATGAGCAGTGTGAATGGAATTAACTGCCAATTCAGTCAAATCTCAAATGGTTCAATTACGTAATCAACTACAAGTTTAGTAAAGCTATGAAAGCATTTCATGTACCTTTTATTAAGATTGTGCAGGAGTATGGATTTTTCACATTTTCCACAAAGGTATACTTCTCTTCTCCAAGAACATGCTCATAGACGAGTCCAGCCCAACCAAGGCAATCAGGAGTTATGTCATCAACAGAATTAACAGCCTCCCCACCACAAGCCAAAACCAATCTCTCCATATTTCTCCTCTTGGCTCTTCGAAGGGCAATTATCTAAGAAACAAATGATTAAAAAGTTGTAAAACAAGAGAAAAGCAAAAGCAGCACACAATTTAACCAATATTAAGAAACTGACAAAAAAAAATTATTGGAACTGTAGCTGCAGCAGCCAACCTACGTGAAGCACCTTCTTGTGGTCCTCTTACCATGCAGTTGTTTCAGGAAATGGACATTAAAAAAAATATATATATTAAAATGATATTAATTTAACAATAATTAAAATAGTTGTATTAGGGACTAATCTCACATCGTTTCTCTAAGTTACCCACGCTTGGTTAATATAGTCTAGAGGTGCCCCCATCTAATGCCAATTCATTTTGGGTTGGGTGCCTCCAAAATTCTAACAAGTTGGAATCTTCTTCTTCTTTTTTTTTTTTTTTTTCCGGGTACATTGGAAGTAAATAACAAGTTGAACTAAGTTAAGCCAATATAGCAAAAATGGGTAAAGCCTTTTTGTAATAGTTTCACAAGTACATATGAGTTCAACTTTTGGTGAGACCTAATGTTAGTTGTTTATGTGAGGTATTCTTGTCTTTTCGTCTTCGTAGTTTGTTAATTCTGGTTTTCCTTCTTATGAACAGGTCTCTCCCTTTTGCCTTGCTTAAGCATCCATTGCTAGATAATTAACCATTTTTTAATCAGTTCTTTCTTTCACAGAATGACTTCTACATAGATCAAAGTTATAGGAATATAATAAAAAAAACGGCACAAACTGCAAAAATAGAGCAGAATTCTAATGAAATTTATGTAAAAATAAACAATTCTCTTTATCAATAATCAATATCAACAAAAGGAATAGTAAAAAAATAGAGAAATGCTACTCAAACAAACTTCTTTTACAAACTGATGTGCCATTGAGTGGTTAAACTTTGGAATGTGAAATAAGACTCAGTTTATTAATATGGTAGGTGCCATATCAGTTTGTAAGTAAAGTTTGTTTGTATATCATTAATAAAAAAAAAACAATATAGTAGAAAGCATGACTTACCCCCGCCCTAGCAAGAAGGTCAAGTGATGGAGGATCAATTCCTTTTTGATTGATAACAACAAAGTTGTAATCGTTATCGGAGCAGACCTAAATAGCAAGTATAGATCATGTTTAAAGACACTATAAAGTATTAGTGCACACATGAAAATCTAAAAAAACCATATAGAATAATGCTGCATTTTGAATTCAGTACCTTGTCCTTTAGCTCAATGATTTTCCTTACTCTCTCATCGACTGAACGCCTTTCTGCTGCAACCATTGTCTCTCTCTGCTCTGCACTTGAGTAGAAAAATCCTGCATTTATTTCACTGAGAGAAAGATGTCAGTTTGATATACCCAAATAGATTATCCAACATATCAAGTAAATAATAATTAAGTCTGTTTATGCCTGATGAAAAAATTTCAATATCCATATCAACATCAATTTCAAAAAAAATCTTTTTTTTTTCCTTCAAATTTCAACCCCCTAACCTTTTCAAAATTGCATAAAATTTTGGATGGCAGGCAAGAATGCTTCCATCTAGATGATCAAAATCTTACAATTTATCACCATAACTTATAAATTGAGTTGAGATTATAAAATATCATGTGGAGTAAACAACCTTGTACATTATCTCATCTTTCTACCTTCATAAAATTTGCATCATAACCAAACCAAGCCATAAGTCCCATCAAATGGGATCGGCTACATGAATCCTTCTTCTCCACGCGGCCCTATCAAAGGCCATTTCATTAATCAAATTAAGTAGATTCATATCTCTATTTAAAATGCTAGTCAACGTTAATCTAGGCCTACCCCGTCCCCTAACACTTCCATCTACCGTTACAGCATCGCATCTCTTCACTACTGCCTCTGTTGGCCTCCGTTGAATATGACCAAACCATCTCAAACGATTCTCTCTCAACTTATCTTCTATCGGTGCTACTCCTACCCATTCCCGAATACACTCATTCCTAATCCTGTCTTGTCTAGTCTTACCACACATCCACCTTGTTGGCATATTATAATCACCGAAAGTCTTAGTATTTTATTAGCCGATTAGCCGAAAGGCACTTGGGTCTGTAATCATTGTGATGCCCTCAGGGATCATCTTGTAATTGTCTTGTTTGTAAACCCTAATCTTCATGTATAAATAAGGGGTGATATCTCATCATACCCTAAGCTGATTATTCAAAGCTTCATGGTATCAGAGCTAAACCTATAGGGTTTCGGCTCACCCTCGTTGGCAGACCTATTCACCAACAACACTCTAGGGTTCGAAGCTTACCTGGTCCCAGCAAAATAGTCGTGCTGAACAGAAACATAGGCATATTCTTGACACTACTCGCGCTCTCCTTCTCTTTTCTTCCTGCCCTGAAAACTTTTGGGGGGAAGCTGCCCTCACTGCTGTCTACACTATCAATTGTGCTCCTAATCCTGTCATCCATAATCAAACTCCTTTTGAACGTCTGCATGGCACTCCTCCTCCATACACCAATCTTCGGGTCTTTGGCTCTGCCTGCTTTATTTTGCTTCAATCCCATGAACACACCAAACTTGAACCTCGTTCTCGTCTTTGTTGCTTTCTTGGGTATAGAATTGAACATAGGGAAGAAAGACGTGAGGTTGGAAGACATACACACACTCACGCACACTTATTACAGATTTGCCCTCGCTCGGAGGGACCGAATAAATATTACAAATTAATTAACTACGCAAGCTAATTAATATTACAAATTAACTAATTTAATTTACAAATTAAATAACACTCTGTCATATGCTTTCTCAAGGTCGATAAACACCATATGAATGTCTCTTTTCTTTTCTTTATACTTTTCTATTACTCTCCTCAAAAGATAGATCGCTTCCATTGTTGACCTACTAGGCATAAACCCAAATTGATTCTCTGACACCTCTGTTATATCACGCAATCGGTGTTCCATCACCCTCTCCCACACTTTCATTATATGACACATTAGCTTAATTCCTCTATAGTTGTTACAATTCTCGACATCACCTTTATTCTTATAGATTGGCACTAAAATACTCTTCCTCCACTGATCTGGCATGTTCCTAGTCAACAAAATTTTGCTAAACAACCTAGTCAACCAACCAACTCCCTTTTTACCCAAACACTTCCAAGCTTCAATAGGGATATCATCAGGTCCTAAAACCTTATTTGATTTCATCTTCTTAAGTGCAATTTTCACTTTAAAGTTCCTAATCCTGCGATAGAACCTATAGTCTTGATTTATCGTATTACTAGCTATTTCTTCCCTTATTGTCGTACCTCCATGTTCCTCATTTAATAATTTCTCAAAATAATTCTTCCATCTTTCCTTAATCTCATCATCCTTCACCAATACCTTAGAATCCTCATTCTTGATGCACTTTACTTGATTAAAATCTCTTGTTTTCCTCTTCCGTATCTTAGCAAGTTTGTATACCCTCTTCTCTCCCTCCTTACTATCTAGTCTAGTGTATAGGTCATCATATACTTTCAACTTGGTCTCTCTCACTACTTTCTTGACCTCCTTATTAGCCAATCTATAGCTCTTAAGGTTTTTCTCAGTTCTATCATTCTGCCACTTTTTAAAGCACTTTTTTTTTGCCTTAACTACCGTTTGAACCTCTTCCCTCCACCACCAAGTTTCCCTAGAGCTGGGTCCCGTTCTTTTTGACTCTCCAAGCACTTCCCTTGAGATTCTCCTCATACAATTGGTCATCGAGTTCTACATAGTGTTAGCATCACCTTCTAAGTCCCAAGTACCTTCCTTATCCATTCGATTCTTAAATATTTCTAATTTATCCCCTTTTAGGTCCCACCATCTCGTCCTACGACGCCCACCATCCTTCTTAGCTTGGTATTGCCCTCTAAAACATAAATCTAGTACCAAAATCCTATGTTGAGAGACCAGACTCTCTCCAGGAATCACCTTACAATCATTGCATTTTAGGCGGTCCACTTTTCTCACTAAGAAGTAATCTATTTGACTCTTAACTAATCCACTCTTAAAGGTTATCAAATGCTCCTCCCTCTTCTTATACATAGTATTGGCCACCACCAAGTCAGAAGCCAACGCAAAACCTAAGATACTCTCTCCAGCCTCATTTCTGTCACCAAAACCGTATCCACCATGCACCCTTTCATAACCTAGTTTATCTAATGCCCACATGGCCATTAAAATCTCCACCTATAACTAGGTTCTCTCCTACGGGTATCTCCTGTAAGATCTCATCCATTTGCTCCCAAAAATCCCTCTTAGTCTGATCATCTAACCCTACTTGATCATCATAACAAGAAAATTTAAGATTCCTCATGGCTAAATGAGTTGATGCAGTGAAATCATAAATTTACAAGATCCAAATAAGGCCTGGTTTGGCTTATACTATATAAGCCAAAAAGTCAAAAAGTTACTCCAAAATCCAAAAAGATATCACTATTCACCAAAAAAAAAAAAATTAATTTTTTTCTGCCCAAGTACACACCGAATTGACAACAAGCCAGTTGCTGTGCAGCGGCAGTGCACCTAAATGAAAGGATTGGGTGTGATTTGTACACACAACGCTGTTCGGCATGTGGGGCCTATCACAGATTCCGTTTTGATAATCTGAACCGTTAAATGTGTAGAACTCGTCGAGTACTATATGTCTGCAAAAAATCACATTGATTGGATATCGATAACTATATGATCAAATCAGTTATGTACAACAAATGGATGGTGTTATAATTAATGATTGAAAAATAAATAAATCTAATCAGATAGCTATCGATATCCGATTAACATGATTTTTTGTAGGTACATAGTGTTCGATGAGTTACACACATTGAACGGTTCAGATTATTAAAATGGGACCTGTGATGACCCCCACAGGCCAAACAAAACCGTCCAGTGCTTTGTACAAAAATTAGGCAATAATTTCCATAGCCAATTCACTCCAGCCGGTTGTACAGCTGGGGCCCACCTCTCACTAATCATCTCTTACACACTTTTTTTATACAATATTTTAATACACATTTTTTCATAAAAAGCTAAAAAGTTAACCCAAACCTCCATATTTTTTTCTCAACTTTTTTAGTCCAAAAAGACAAAAAGTGCACTTTTTTAGAACACCCCAAACCAGCCCTAAATATTCTTCAACATATTTATGTACATACAGTGAATAAAATGGGCAAACGCATACATAAAAAATATTAATTTACTCTTTCCACTTTCCTAGCAACACATTTCATCAGTACTTACCTTTTCTCATACTCCAGTGATACATTACATGTCAAAATATAGCAATTCTCGGCTCTTCGCTTCATGTCAGGATGTCTTGAACCATGATCCAGGACAAGACCCTCAACCTATAAAACAGTATGTGCAACATGAGAAACTAAGGGTGACGAATATAAAAATTATATTAATATACAAATAATACAACAAAACTTGCCATTGGATGTAAACCAACAAAAAATAAAATCGACCTACCAAACGGGTGTCTACATCAAACTTATGGCGCATATGCATGATCTCAACCATAAACAGATCAATAGCTTCCTCAGGCTTCCGAATGCAAAGTACCTATCAAATCCAAGGTGTGGTAGAAAATTGAAAAAAAGATGAGATAAAGGTATCAAAATATTGTATATCAATAATGCAAAGTCTAGTCAATGGGAACTGATAGCTGCCAAAAATTAACAATGTGAATAAATAAACTGCACAAAAACTCTTCCAAAATGCTCCTGATAGCAAAGAACAGTTTTTCTATCAACATGTGAAGTAACAGCACCAGGAGCACTCACCGCATTTACAACTATGTCAGTCAGTTGATCTGCCAGTGCTTCATACAACTGAAAAAGAGAGTACACAATGGAATCACATAAATTGTAGTGGAGTATATTAAACTGGGAAGGGAAAGGGGTTAAACTGGGAGAGAGAGGGGGAGAAGAGAACCAGATGAAGAAAATACTATAAATTACCTTTGTTCTTAATGTTGTTCTTGCTACCATCTTCAGTATCTCTTTATCAGGTTCATCACCCATCACTACAGATGTCTTGAATTTTTCGAGAAATTGCAGTGTTTCTCTTTTGGCAATTTCAAAACCATCAACCAAAACACGTGGATGCATCCCTGACAAAAACATTTCTCTTTATATACAAGAACTAATGTGGGATTAGGTAGTATGTATTTTTACAACCCCATTTATACTTGCACTAGTTCTTCATTAGATAGTATCATACTATCATAAATTAGATAGTATGTATTTTTATATAGTGTGAATAAAAATACCTATCATACTTGGTTTCACACTAAGTTCGCCTTCAAGCATTTATATTTGCACAAGCCAAAATGAGAGTGAAACGTATAGACAAGAACAAATATGTTTAAATGTCCAGCCCACATCCACACCAACTAAAGTTTTGCCAAACTACATTAGTTCATAATTCAGTACTTTAAATGACCAGATACAAAATTAGGTAATTTGACTAAAATTTCCACTATCACACGCACTGAGTTATGTCAAAGCAAAATTATGAGAAAACTAGACAATAAAGAAATTAGCAAAGAACTTGGGGATTACTAACCTTCATCAATGTAACGTTCTGATTGTTTCATAAGCTCACCAATGAAAAGGACAGTGGAAGTTGTTCCATCCCCACTAATATCATCTTGGGCAACTGCAGTCCTTGCAATCATAATTGCAGTTGGGTTTTGAATTTGCTGCAAACATAATTCACTTCAGTTTTCCAGTGCACCAAGAATAAGCTTCATAGGGACTAAACACGATAAATGCAGCAGTAGCAAATTCAAACATAATAATGAGGAGAGGGGGCCAAAAAAAAAAAAAAAAAGCTAGTGCATTGTCAGTTCAACTAAGATTTTCAACATTGTACTCATTTCTCCTCTTGAACCTTCATCTGTTTATTCATGCTCCTGATCACTATAATAACATACTATGCAAGTTTACAATCAGCTGAAAGCACCAATCCTCATATAAAAAGAAACAACTCACGATGACATGAGATGAAAATGTAATAAACCAAGAGCAATCGCCTCCACTGGTTTGCAGCAATATAAAACTTTTTTCACACTAGTTCTTCAACCAAACAACTAATGTGGGATTTCCACTGCCAATTGCTCTATCAACTATTTCTCAAACTCCCAAATTGACCTTCATTACAACCCCATTTCCTAACCAAACCTAATAGCCAAGCAAACATATACATACTATCCATACTATTATATTAAGTAAAGACTGGACTTTGTGTACAAGCCTTTCCTTGCCTCTCCTTATGCCACATATCCTTCATTTTTCTATTTAAAACAAATAAAAAAATAAAAAATAGATAGATGGGAGGAGTGGGACTCAAACCTTGACCTGAGGTCTGAGTTACTTATTTAGGGATGATTTGGGATGATCTAAATAAGTGCACTTTTTGACTTTTTATAAAATATGGGTTGGGTTTGAAGTGATGTGCTAGAGAAACAATGAGACTTAAACAAGATGACGTGACTTAAATAGGATAGTAACTTTTTAACTTTTTAACCTTTTAGATTATGACAAACAACGCCTTAAATTGCACACGTATCGCGTATGCCAACCGCTAGTAAATTTAATTGAAAGCACCTCATAAATGCAAGTGTTCATATAGTGCCATATGAATCCAAACGCCGAAATACACAAAAATCACTGACATCTACACTCAATAGCATAGCAAACTAAGTAAATACCAAATCAAACAAGCTTCAAAACAGTTAAATCGACCAGATCATAGAGGGAGAGAACAAACCATGTCTTTTAAGAGTGTGTTACCATCTTTAGTGAGTTTAATGTCACCGGCTCCACCAACAAGCCTAGAAAATCACAGAAAACAAAGGAAAGTTCAATAGAAGTGAGAAAATGACACTGAATGCAAAGAGGAATAAGAAGAAAAAAAAGGGAAAAAAGAAAAAGAAAAATCACATCTTGATGGTGCCTTTAGGACCGAGGTTAGTTTTGAGGACGTCCTGTAATCCCTTGGCGGCATTGATGTTCATGTGCAGAGCAGCGGACTTGTTGAGCACTTCCGCATTGGGATTCAATACTCTTAGCGACATTTTCGCAGCTAACTAGAGAGAGAAACACAGTCTATATATACATTATATACAGTGTGTAAGTGAGAGAATCTCAATCTATAGATTCATAGAGCAAGAATAAGAGATTACCTTCAACTGGAAATGGAGATCGTGTGCAAAGGAATGTCGCTGCGTCAGGAGAGAGAGGAGAAGAAAGGTGGGTTTTAGGGCTCAGAGAAGCGGCGCCGTTTTACTGTCCATTGTCGTTTTGAAATTGGAGGGCACGTTTGTTTCAAATTTTTTTTTTTTGTTTTTGAACACGAAAAAAGGAAGTTCTTTGGGGGCATCCCGACCTCCGCAAGCTCAGGCACCGGAGTAGCTGGTTGCTGGCCTGGTTTAACCCAATCCATAGGAAAGGACCTACCACTAAGGCACCAGTAGAGCTCATCAAGCCCCGGAGTAGCCGGTTGCTGGCCTGGTTTAACCCAATCCATAGGAAGGGACCTACCACCAAGGCACCAGTAGAGCTCATTGGTTTAACCCAGCCCATAGGAAGGGACCTACCACCAAGGCACCAGTAGAGCTCATCAACCGCCCCAGCACCAGTAGAGCTCATCAACTGCCCCAGCCCTAACCAAGTGCGATCGGAGTACAACGCGAGGTTTTAGGAAAGAGCTCCTGGAAAATTCAGGATTTTTGCGCCCCCAGGAGTCGAACTTAACCCAAGGCTGTGGGAAGGCAATGCCTTCACCACTGAGCCACCACCCTCGGTGGTTTTTGTTTCAAGATTGATCCATTAAAATGATACCAGAAAGGATAGAGATTCTTTTTTTTCTTTCACCCACACATTCCTCCTAGGGATGGCAATATTAACCCGGCCCGACGGGGACCCGGACCGCCCCGTCCCGATAAATAGGTTTTTCCCTGAAAATTATTCCCCGTAGGGCCGGGGCTGGTATTGAAAAATACATCCCCGATAATTTTCGGGCTGGGGACGGGGATTAATTTCTCGGCTCCAGCCCCGGCCCGGCCCGGCCCCGAAGTTTCCCCGAAGCTTCCCCGCATATATTATATACTACCTATTAGTTGTATTATAATTATATATTTCTCTCTCATCTCACTCTTTCACTCTGACTCTCATCTTGCTCTCTCAACTCTGTGTGTCTCGTTCTTCTCTCCCTCACTCTCTCTCAACTCTCGTTCTTCTCTCCCTCACTGTCTCTTGTCTCTCTGTCAACTCTCTCTCTCACAGTCATCGACACACGGTGACACCACCACCACCGCTGGCCCTGACCCCCCATTCTCCCCAGCGCGGTCGTCCCTCCATCACGGCGATCTGCGCAGCTGCAGCGCGGTCGTCCCTCCATCACGGCGATCTGCGTAGCTGCAGTGCCGTCGTCCCTCTATCACGGCGATCTGTACATTTTGAGCTCAGTAGGTCTTTGGAGACTTTGAATCTCAGCAACAATCTCATTTGGGGTCCAATCCCAGATCAGATTTCTCAGTTTGGGTCATTGAAAATGCTTGATTTGAGTGGAAACCATGTTGGCATATATTATATACTACCTATTAGTTGTATTATAATTATATATTTCTCTCTCATCTCACTCTTTCACTCTGACTCTCATCTTACTCTCTCAACTCTGTGTGTCTCGTTCTTCTTTCCCTCACTCTCTCTCAACTCTCGTTCTTCTCTCCCTCACTGTCTCTTGTCTCTCTGTCAACTCTCTCTCTCACAGTCATCGACACACGGTGACACCACCACCACCGCTGGCCCTGACCCCCCCTTCTCCCCAGCGCGGTCGTCCCTCCATCACGGCGATCTGCGCAGCTGCAGCGCGGTCGTCCCTCCATCACGGCGATCTGCGCAGCTGCAGCGCCGTCGTCCCTCTATCACGGCGATCTGTACATTTTGAACTCAGTAGGTCTTTGGAGACTTTGAATCTCAGCAACAATCTCATTTGGGGTCCAATCCCAGATCAGATTTCTCAGTTTGGGTCATTGAAAATGCTTGATTTGAGTGGAAACCATGTTGAAGGAAGATCAGATCAGATCAGATTTCTCACTCTCTTTTTATTTTTTATTTTTTATTTTTTACATTTTGAGCTAAGATCTTTGATGATGATGAACAGATGATTGTTGTTGATGAATACATATTGTTGTTGTTGATGATGAATATATGTATATTTGAGCTCAGATCCGTGCATTTTTTTTTTTCTTTTTTTGGCCGGGGAATTCTCGGGGTCGGGGAAACCCGATCCCCGTTAGGGGCCGGGGATGGAGGCAGTGATAGGCTCCCCGTCGGGAATCGGGGACGGGGGCGGGGAAATTTCTACCATTGGGGATCGGGGATGGGGAGTGTGGTCCCCGGCCCCGTCCCAGCCCGTTGCCATTCCTAACTCCTCCTACATACATTAGTGAGTGATAAAAGATAAGAAATATAAAATAAAAAGTAAAAGTTTGGTGAATTTCAATGCATTGGGATAGTGACAGTGGGGGTTAAAAAAAAAAGAAAAGGTTTTAACCTTTTTTCTAATGATACCCACTTCTATTTACACCCATGACTCGACTCATATTTTATTTCATTCAAATTTTTTTTATTTGTTTTAATTTGTTTTATTATTTATAATCAGGTGTTCAATCTAATTTGTGCATATTTTGAATAATTTTAATATTTTAAGATTAACGATCAAATAAATCTTCTGTGATCGCTTGGGATTAGAAATAGCACACAAATAGCATTTGGATTTGTACTAACCCATTCTTGCTTCATACCAACTCCACTTCCCCATGAGGTTGGGAAAAAACACGAGGATGCGGAGGTAGACCATCATACATAAAATTAAATTAACATAGGGTTAATATAATTTCCCAAATATAAGAAGTGAACTGTAATAAATGTAAACTTCAAAGGGTGTCAGTGTAATTTACTCTTATTTTTAAGTCTTTATGGCTCAGATACTTTAGAATTTCATTCTCCCCATTTTTCTTTAAGCCAACTTAAAAAATATAACATTTTATTTTAAATAGTTGTTATTTATCACTTGTTTTGTTTATCGATTTACATCACCGATATATGACAAATTATTATTTATTTTTATTATTTTTTAAACAAATAAATTAATCAAAAATATTTATATAGATATTGACACTGATACAAAATCGTAATAAAAAATCAATGAGAATATTTCTTTTTATTTTATCCCAAATCTATTCTATTTCTAACCTCACACTTATTTTAAAACCCATTATTTCCTCTCTTTCAAAATTAAGATAAATTACAAACACACCTCCTGAGATTTACTTAAATTATAAATTATCCTCTGTGGTTCTAGAATTATATTATGCCTCCTAAGATTTCTAATTTCATAACAAATAGGTCATTTTATTAATAAATTATCAAGTTAATTAACAGTTTTTAATAACGTTAAAATTTGAAGAAATTACACAAAAAAACCCTAGGGTTTAGCGCCTTTTTCAAATCAAATCTGTATCCCACCATTCCACCCGTGTTGCATTCTAATCCCCTCGTCCATCTTCATCTCTATTAGTTAACGGAAGACTGATTTGGGCGTCAAAATTGCGATTTAGGGCAAAAGACACCCCTCCATTACGATTTACAGCACCATGTAACTCACCTAGTGATTCAACCTGCGATTGAAGCCATGCATCGAAGGAAAACAACAATTTCATAGTTGATTTTCCAAAAAGCTTTAGACTCTGAGACAGAGGTAAGAAATGGGTTCGTTTTTGGTTGTTTTATACATGACATGGGTAAGTCCATAAAGATTATAGTCCACCATTTAGGCCCCAATACTCAACTCAAATACTAAGGCCTAGCACTGCCGACGCCCCACGCAGCAATAAGAACCAATGACATCAAGACACATGTTAAGAGAAGGGCAAGCCACATAAGCAGACAAAGATCTGCAAAGTTATTGCCATTGCACATCGCCATTAATGAAGCCCCTTACAACATTTATTGTGACAAGCCCTCTCCGTCGGGACAGAACGCCTTCACCATGAACAAGGTAAGCTAGAGCATAGACTTTCAGCCAAGGTGACAGGTTGGAAGAGACAACGAAATGATTACCAGAGGATATAAATAGACGTCGAAGACAGGAAGAAGGTTAAGCTTTTCTGTCTCTAATTCATACCTACATTCTACTTCTTTCTCTAACTTGCTTGTCGGAGGGTTCGCTGGGGGACTCCTCGTTTCCCGTTGAACTCTTGTGCAGGTTCATCTGTGAGCTTGGTCATCCGAACTCCGGTTTGGAAAGCATGGATTAGTCCGACCCGTTCCGTCTAAAACCCGCTGTATCATCAGTTGGCGCCGTCTGTGGGAAAGGTTTTTGTTCCGCGCGCCAGTTGTGCTCATTGTCGCCGGAGACCCTCTTCCAATAACCCCCTCCTACCACCTGTGAAGGTGGATGGTCACAACTAGATCCATGACTTTTCACCCCAATGTTCCCGATCATCAAGACGACCCTCCCAATCCGAATAACCCACCACAGTATTTCACCGAACTCACTAACAGCATTAATCGTTTGGCCGAGCAAAACCAAGCCATGATTAATGCTTTACTCCAAAGAAACCTTCCTATGCCTCCTCCACTACCTTCAGAAATTCCACCCAACCAAGAACGAGCCCCGAGCCATACTATCTTGCAACCTAACCCACCCAACTTGGAAGGCTTGCGAGCTCCCCTCCCGGATATAAACCTGCCACCCCGGGCCCCGCACCTATCGGCCTCGGTACCAACCCCCGAGGGAGAGCCCAGTAGCGTCCAACCCCGCTCCCCTCCGGTAGTGACAACATTCCTCTTTGGGATGCAGAACTCTGAGTCATGAAGCTCCAGATCCAGGGAGTCATGCAAAACATATAGCATAAACCATCCACTACGGCCAACTCGCCGTTCATTGCCTCCATCCGGGACAAACCTTTACCCCCCCAAGTTCAAAATGCCTACCATCGACTCTTTCGACGGTACAACGGACCCAGTCGATCACTTGGAGACCTACAGAACCCTCATGATCCTTCATGCATTCCCCGACGAGATCATGTGTCGGGCTTTCCCCGTAACACTCAAGGGGTCGGCTCGACTCTGGTTTAGTCAACTACCAGCAGATTCTGTCTCCACTTTCCAGCACCTCAGTGACTCCTTCCTCAGCCATTTCATTGGAGCCCAGCGCCAACGACGCCCAGCAACCCAACTCCTGAATATCCGTCAGACCGAGGGGGAGTCGCTGCGTAGTTTCGTTACCCGCTTCAACACCGAAGCCTTGCAGGT